CGAGTGGTCTGGCCGGCATGCCAATGTTGCTGTGTCCCCACTGCCTCTGCCCAAATTCGGTGAAGTCTCCGAGCTTCTTAGGGTTCTCCGAGTAAAGCCCAGACTGCCCCACCTGGCTTGCAAGGCTGTGGGTGAACTGGATGAGCTCATGCGTCTTGCACACTGCACACTTCCTCGTTCACCCTGAGATCCCAGGACACCCGTCCCCAGGAGCTATCCCCGGGTGGAGGAGGTCATCCAGAGGATGTGACCGCCAGCTGAAAGGAGAGCTGGCTCAGGACAGGTGGAGGATCTTCACCCCCTCCCTTGTCCTTGGAATGTACACGCCACCTCAACCACACCGTGTTCCCACAGTGGGAGCTGTTTTCAGGGACGCAGCCTTGAGAGAGGCAAGTGTTGCTGAGACCACCCGGACGGTGCGTACGACTGAACCTCATTAAGACCTCTCTATAAACTTTTAAGATTCTAGAAGGTAGGTTCAGAGGTCTACTCAACTTGAGGCCCCCAAGATAAGACTTTATAAGTAAGTTCTCTTGCTTATTAAACCTGCCACTCACCAATCTTCCTTCCATCTCTCCCTGTCTTCTGTGCATGGGGCCAGTTTCAGATTTCACCCCAAAGGCTCCTGAGCTCATGAACCAACACCCTCTAAGTGCCCACCTGTTAGCCTATCACAGCACGGCCCCAATGTGCTGAAATTCCCAGCAACTTCAGTCCCCTGAAAGACTGTGGGCTCCTGGAGGGTGCGGGCTGTGTTCTGTCCATCTCCACATCCCCAGCACTTAGCAGAGTATCTGGTAGATTAGGGTGGCCCTAAGTATCCAATGACCACTGTCCTTACCAGAGGAGAAGACAGACAGACAGACACACACACATACACATATAGACACATGCAGTCATGTGAAAAGGGAGGCAGCGATCAAGGGGATCATCTACAAGCCAAAGAAGGCCAAGGACTGCCAGGAGCCACCAGAAGCTGGGAGAGAGGCACGGGGCGGATTCTCTCTCAGAGCTCCCCAAAGGAGCCAAGCCTGGTGGCACCTTGATTTCAGACGTCCGGCCTCCTGAACAGTGAGAAAATGTATTTCTGCTGCTTGGGGCCACCCAGTTTGTAGTATTTTGTTACCGCAGCACTAGGAAATGAACACATCCAGGAAGACTAGACCCAGGGACAAAAGTGTTCCCAGGTCTGGCAACCCAGAACAGCAAAGGCTCTGCTGATACAGCGAGGACTGCTAGGAAGCAGAGTTCCCACACACCAGGCCTTGCACGAGACCTCCAGATCTTTATATACTGCAGGGGTTGGGGAGCCCCATGATGGCTGTTAGTGGAATCTTCACCGGCCCAGCAAGATGGAGATCCAGGTTAATTTCAAGGACATAACATGTCATTTAACCAGAATGTCTGGGCTGCATCACGTCTGTTTACACAGGGCTCATAAAGAGAAATATTGGGAGAAAATGAATGAGAAACCTACACTGGGACCATATCAAGGAGGACGTTCACTGCTAGGCTCAGAAGTTTGGATTTGCATCCTTAGACAATGGGAACCATTGAAGTTTTAAGGGTTTTGAGCTTGGGAATGCCTTGTGGCTTCGGGAAAAATGATCTGGCTATAGCTATGTATCAGTTATCAAGCATCTGGCAGCAAGTAACAGGACCATGATCTAAGGTGGCTCAAACAAAAGAACTGTACTTACTGACTAATACAGCAGAAAGACTAGAAGTATGCTTCAGGTATGGTGTGATCAGGGCTCTAGATCTACTAAGCTTCAGTTTGGCTCCCCTCATGGGCACAAGATGTCTTCCGGAGGAACTGAGTTACTGAGTTAAAAACGCTTTCATATTCATGTACGGTTGGAAATAAAGAGAAGCTTCCCAGGACTCTTGAGGACTCCTTTCCAAGAAGACACAAGTATATTTCTCTCTGTATCTTGTTGATCCAAACAGGGATTAAATCTACATCTTCCCGAGCCAGATTCTGGCAAAGAGATGAGGGTGGTCATGATTGGACACGATTAATCAGCTGCCTTAGCATGGATGCTGGGTGTAACATATTAGTGTAGAGAGTGATTCTGGGTTAGTTCTGCTGGCTCAGATGCCCCCAAGAGTCCCAGGGGTAGAAGGGGGCTTAAGGGTCCTGCATCCTGCATTCCCTGTGATGCAAAATGTACAGCTCTCCTTCCACATGCTTACTCTTGAGATAGGCACACGATTGCTGACCCATGACCCAGTGAGGCCTGCCAGCCAGATTCCTCTTCTGGAAAAACTCAACCCCAGAACAGACGAACAGCGGGAAGTGAAACTGTAAGGAGTGTCATGACAATCGTCACGACGTAGAGGGGCTGGGGCTGCAACCACCAGGAAAATGGTAGGGCAGACCCCAGGGCTTAACAGAGGAAGACTGTGGGCAGGGAGAGAACAGAGCAGAGAGGGGGCAAGAGGAGGGAGAGAAAGGCCAGGGGTGGGGGTGGGGGGGAGGAGGGCCACAGAGCCAGAGCTAGAAAGACCGGCTGTCTCTCTCCTTCCAGCTTCTGTCAGTCCCTCCCTCTGTTACTCCTTTCATCTAAGGAAAGTTGGACCCCCCAAACCGTGGTAAGTAAAACACTGCCCTAAACAAACCGCCACGTGTGCACCAGCCCCGAACTCACCACTGACAAGCCAGGCGGCCCTTTTCTGCCTAATCACCCAGATGGCATCAGGGCCCATTAGGATCCTTCCATTCTGATAGGTGAAGAAAGGGAGTGGGGGGAGAGGGAAATCAATTTCCTTCACCATTATTACTGAGAGCTTTGCAGTTGCTTGGAGTACATGGGGGAGGGTGTGTGTGTGAGCATTAAATCAATGTCAGGGCTCCCTGGGGGACTCACCCTGCAGACACTCCCAGCAATGACTATGACTGCTATTCCTGGGCAGGGCATGTCGGGAGACACACTCAGGGTGACAACGGGGAATGCCCTGACACAGCCCCCGATGCGGACTCCCGGAAATGTCCACGGGTCTCATAAGTGCTGCCTCCATGGTCTATCACAACACTAGAATAAACAGGAGGGTGGGGGGAGTCCTCTCTCCTACCTGGTAAGAACATTATAACAGAAAGGATGTGGGCCAGAAAAAGCCTTGCCAGGTTACCCCATCGGAGCCTGGGATGCACATCTTTATAGATAAGGTGATGACTTATGCATGTTTCACCATGGAGTCACTTAATTAGGAATTCCCATCTCACTGTGGAGTCACCTAGGGGAACTGCCAAGAACCTGGGGCTGAAATTAAGAGCAGACTTTGGTTCTTGGCTGCAAAGTGGAACAGCTGGATGATCAGGGTCCACTTACATGCCCAATCTGGTCTTCTCTCCAACTCCGCTAGGAAAAGATGGCAGGGTCCTAATTACTAAATGGTTAATCTTCTAGTGGTGAATTTTCTCACTCTCTCCTCCCCCTCTTTTTCAATATGCTCCTTTTCTACTTCTCTCTGCTCCGAATAGCTCCCCTTTCCTCCCCCAAGGAAGGCCGAGAAGTCTCCTGGACCAGTCTTCACCCATTCCCTGCGGCAGGCCACCTCTCTGCCAGGGGTGGGGGCCCAAGTTGGAGGCCCACCATCAAAACAACTAATTTTCACTGGGCGCTTACTACATGATCGGCCTAGTTTTAAGGGTTCAGCATGTGTGAATTCACTTGATTATTACAACCACCTATGGGATAGACAATTACTAGGCCCATTTCCACAGAAGAGGAAACTGGGGCACAGGGCTACCTAAACTAGTCCAAGATCACACATCAAATGACGGTAAGGCAGGATCGGAAGCTGGAAGTCCCATCCAGCTGGCCCTGGTCTGAAGCACACACTACAGTGTCCCTCTGATGAATGATGTGCTAGGGAGCTAGCTCCCTTCCGCCGCAAAAGGCTGACCTCTCCAAGGAAAGCAATGCAAGCTGGAAGAATTAAGTGGCCTCTAGAACACACTGTGCCTCCTTCCTCTTAGCATTGCTCAAAGAAGTTGCAGAAGAGGTACAATCCCTGTAAGGGGATAAAAGCTGTACAGTCACATTTTTTTTTTTTTAATACCTCTTAAACCTTGTGTCCAGCATTTAGTCTCTAAGACTGGCCTTCTGCCATTGAGCAAGATGTCTCCAATGCCCCCACTTCCCTCTAAAGGAGAAAGGGCAAACCTGAGCCCCCAAACCTGAGCCCGAAACGGGGTCCGGTCCCAGAAGCCCCAGCCCCCCGGCCGCCCCGGGACTGGCCCCTGCCTGCAGTAACCAGGCCTGGCGCTCGCCCTGCTCTGGACCGCGGTGCAGCCTCCGCATCTGGGAGGAAAAAGCGGTGGCGGGCCGGCGAACCGGGGCGGGGGTGGGGGGGGGGGCTGCCGCGCCGCGGGAGCCTCTCTGCGGCTCGGGACTGGGCCCCGGGCTCGGGCCTTACTACGGCCCCAGCACCGCCGCGCTCCTCCCCTCCCCCTCCCCGAATCCCACCTCTAGTCCCGCGCCCTTAGAGGAAGTCGGCGGCTTTGCCCGGTCGCCAGCAGGGGATCGGCCCCTTCTTGCTACGGTGCGAGCCCATCTCGGGCTCTTCGGGGCACCTCCACGTCCACTTCCTCCCGGGGGCTGACCGCACGGGTTCCCCGGAGGTTCTTCCCTGGTCTCGCCAGGCTGTGGGCGGAGGCCTCGGCGCGGAGTGTCGCGAAGCTGTCCCCGCAGAGCCCTCTCCGGGCGGCGATCCGGTCCCCGCGCCGCCTCCGGCGTCTCCCCAGCCTGGCCTCCGCTAGCCGGCTGCGGTCCACGTGGCTCCGGAGCTCGCAGGAAGCCCTGAGCTAGCGGAAAGCCGAGCCGAGAGCGGGCGGAGGGGGCGCGGGGAGGGGGGGGAGCGCGGGCCCGAGGGGCGGGCGCTGGGCGGAGGAAGGGGAGGGCCGCGCGCCGCCGAGGCGCCCGCCCCGCTCCGGCGCGCCGCGCTCCCGGCCCCGGCCGGCCAGGGAAGCGGCCCCTCCCCGGCCGCTCGCCCGCCCCTCCCGTTACACCCGGGGGAAGGTGTTCCCGAGACCGCTCCCATCCTCACCCCGCCTCCCCGCCTCCCCGGCTCCAGCCTCCGCCGGCGGAGCTCCACTATGCCAGACAGTTTCGACACTTTGCAAAGACAAAGACCAGAGAAAGGAGGAAGAGGAGGACGAGGAGGAAGAAGAGGTGGGAGAGGAGGACGGAGCGATGTGAGCTGGGAAGGGGGCGAGTGTTCGGGACACCCCCCCCTTTATTCTCCCCGGAGCCCCTCATCCCCAAAGCCGCGGAAACTCCAGCGTGTCTCCAGCTGCGGTGAGCGAGCGCGCCGAGCCCAACGCTGCCGGGGTGCGCGGGGGGCTGCGTCCGCCGGAGTTGGGGCTCGGGCAGTTTCGAGTGTGTTCTCCGAGTGGAGGGGTGAGTGCCCGGAGCCGGGAACAGAAGTGGTCGGGAGGGGTCTAGGAGGGTGTCACAGTGGAAGTGGGGACTGAACACCCCAGGCGCCCGGAGGAAGACACACGTAGGGAGACCCCTTCCCCATCCACAGCGTCACCGGGGTCTTTGAGAGAGGGCGGAGGTCCAGGAGGAGGCTGGGGCTCCGGGATCTTCAGCCGTTATTAGAAGAGCTGCTGGGACCTCGGCGGGGAGCCTGCGCCGGGTCCGGGGCAGCGGTCCCCCGGGTGGCCCCAGTGACACTGCACCGGCGCCAGGCTACAATCTCCCGGGTCGGGGCCGCCAGAGGGCGAAGCGGCCAGCGGGGCCGCGGGTGGGATGAGTCCCCTCTGGGCGGCTGGCTCCGGCGCTTCCGAGTGGAGCGAGGGGCGCGGGGGCGCGCGGAGGCTGCCGGTGATCCGGTCCGGCGGCGGCGGGACGGGGTTGTGATCGAGCCTCCAAATCCACTGCGAGCCGGAGCACATCCGGGAGGTGGCCATCGCCCCCGGGGACGCCGCGGGCCCTCGTTGCTCCGGAGATGGTGGAGAAGTTGGCGCGGTAGCTGGACGTGGCGTGGTGGGCAGGGAGCGACTGGGTGGGCGCAGGGGAGGCAACTCGAAACTCTTGAGTCCGCCCCAACCCCGTTAGGCGCCGCAGTTGCAGCGACATAATCTGACAAAAGTTAGCAACTTGTCTGCGTTTCTCGGGTGTGTGACCTGCGCGGGGCAGAGTCCGCTCCTCGGGAGAGCGCAGGGGCGGGCAGCCGCGGCACTGGGTCAGAGCGCCCGGATGGGGCTACGGCTAGATTCGGAATCGGGACCGTGGCGCAACTTTGAGCTCCTCCTTTCGCCGAGCGTGTGTTTGAGCGTGACCTTGCGGGAGGAAGCGCTGCTGAACTTGAGATGGGGGTTGAGGCTGCGCCGGGTCTGCCTTCTCCTTGTCCCGAGACCCGGTCTCTGGGGAAGGGCGTCTGCAGAGTCTGGGTTCTGCTCGGCGGCCGGAGCCCGGAGTCCCTCCAGCCTGCCGCCCCAAGGTCCTAGCCAGCGCCTGCCACTCGCGGGGCTTGGTGGGGGCGCTCGGCGGGTGGACACGTGCGCGCCCAGAAGTGCGCGGGTGGTGGGGGCTGGGCGGGTCACTGCGTCTCGCGGGCTCTGCATGTCCCGCAGCTGGAGACGGCCCGGTCCCTGAGGGCAGTGACCCCTTTGCCGGGGGGGCCGCGTCAGGCATCCCCCTGGCTTTCACGTACCCATCTTCAGGGACTCCTCGCCTCTTCTGGCTCACCCTCCTCGCGGGCCCCTTCGCCCCGCGGATTTGTGCCGAGATGGGCCCCCAGGGAGACAGCGAGCGCGCGCCCCTGCTGGAGGCCGAGTGTGTGTGTTGGGACAGGGGGAGTGCGGGGAGAACGTGATTAGCAGGGAATGAGGTTGTCGCCTCCGCGCCTGACACACAGTAGGGAAAGGCTGTTTGCAAAGGCCTGTAGATGGAAATGCGCTGGCAGGGGTCTGACGTCCACCTTCTCTCCTTGTTCTCCCTATTTCTACTACGAAATTCACGTTCATCCACCGAATCAAGCCCTTTAGGCGTCTAGGCGTGCCTTGAGCACCTACTACGTGCCGGGTTCAAAGCTGGGCTGTTCTTAGAAGCTGAGGGCGGAGGCGCCTGGTGTTCTTGCCCGGGAGCTGCGTAAGGGCGCCCGGGACTTTCGCAAAAGGCAAGGTGCAGTGCCCCCTGCCGGCTGCTTTGGAAACTGCCGCTTGGCTCTGAGGTGGGGAAGGGGCGCCAGAGGCAGGGTGCCTGGGCTCCCTCCAGGTCCCTCCTTGAGCCTCCCCTCCCTGCCCCAAACACCATGGCCTGGCCATTTTCAGAAATCCCGTGGTTGGCTGAAAAGACCGACCAAAGTTCACCATTCCAGCCCCCCCCACCCCGCCCTTGCCCAGATCCCGGTCTTCCACCATCTCCCTCTCTGATGTTCAGGCCTGAGACTTGGAACTCTCTGAATCTCAGTTTCCATATCTGTAAGATGGGGTCATTACTATTACCATACAGATGTGTGGCACAGAGTGTTACATATCATTGTGTGAATGTGTGTGCACGTAGGGATATGCATGTTTACACGTTCACAACATATGTGCATATTCATCCGATCTTTGACTTCAAGTCTGGGAAAGGGAATCTCATCTTACAAAAAATTTATTTTTGCTGAATAAATAAATAACAATGAGTAGGGAGCTCCTTCCTCCATCTTTGGACAACCCTACGAGCCTGGAAATGTGCTGCCCCTGCGTTCTGCTGGTCCTGCATTTGCTGTCCAGGCTTTACCCGTGTGACAAGGCAAGGGCCTGGGCAGAAGCAGGGTCTTCCCCTCACCTCACTGGGTTGGCAGGCCACAGGGCGCCTCTTGAACACTGCCCTGAGAATGGAAACAGGAAGTGTTGCCAGAAGTGAGAGCAGAGGGCTCTCTAGGGGGTGTGAATTCGGCTCCTCCAGGCTCCGCCTCAGCTGCGGAAGCTGACTTCTGAGCAGCCTTCTTGCTGACCGCAGGGCCCTGTTCCCACCTGGAGGCACAGACTGGGCATTCCCTCAGCTGGGTTTACCAGCACCCCGCTAAAGTTGGGAACCTCCATAGAATTGGCTGTCTGGAGCCTTTGGTCCCCGAGGTATGGTGGGGTGGATCCATCTGTGGGCCTGGTAGTGAGGGATCCTTGCAGGTCCTGGAGCCTCAGAGGTGTGTGTGGCTTTGTGCCAGGTGGGTCTCTGTCGCCCCTCTGCACCAAGCTGCCCCCCAGGCCAGGATATCTCCTGGAGGCACGCTCTCAGCAGCCTCCCATCCCCCAGTAAGGGGCCTCTTTGAATCGCTGGGTCAGTTCACCTTGCTTGAGTCCCTTGCTTTGTGGCAGGCTGCTGACTCAGAAGAGTTATATTTGGACAGGGCTTTTTGCCTTATGGGATTTAAACCCTAACCCTCTCCCTAGGCTCCCTCCCACACCATGAAAAGCAACCAGAGTAAAGGAAAAAAAAAATCCACCAGTCATCTCCTTATCCTGCTTCCTAGTAAATCCTATATGTACTAAGGATGAACGCCACTGGCCAGTGGAAGAGCTGCTGGCCTGGTCACAGAGAATTCTAGAATAAGGTTCACAGGCACTTTGTTCTGTTGTGGAGCACATGGGGAAACTTCATACTCCCTTGTAGACCCAAGGATCTGAGGCCTCTCTCCTCTAATTTGGGCACACGAGCCCAACCTTGGGCCCCAGAGGAAACCCGTTCTAGTCCCAGGGCTAGTGCTCAATTTGCTTTGTAACTTGGCACCCACACTGTTCCAGGCTCTGGTCTCAGTTTCACTCTCTGCAAAATGAGAGGCTTGGAGTTCTGCTGACATGGCCTTGGGGCCTTTAAAGCCTTTCTTCATGAAGACAGCCTGCACCCTACTTGCTTTTGCTCCAGCTCCATCCTTAGAACCTTCCAGATATTCCTGGCATCACAGACAATAGGGCCATCCGTGCAGGGATGCCTCCCTTCCCTTACTTACTCACAGAGAGTTCTCCAGACCTGCAGAGCCCATGCCCATTTGGTGAAGTCACTCGCCAGCAATTCTCAGCACTGGACATTGAGAGATGGCCCGGAAGTTTCAGACTCTGGGGTCTGAAAGTTGGCAGAGCCGAGGTAACATTTGTGGGGATCCCCAATGCTGCGTGTGGCCAGTAGGAACCTTGGTGACTTCACCAGGACCAATTTGGTTCCCACTCCAAGAGCTGAGAATGTTCATAGAAATCATTTCGTTCAATCTTTCAGATTAATGAAAACAATACCGAGGCCCAGGGGGGAAATCATGGGATGCTGGGTGACAGAGCTGACCTAGAATGCTCGCTGGTCTCCTAAACTCCCAAGTAGGTGAGACCTCTCTGTTTCCCCTTCCCCACACCCATATTCTTTTCTGCATATCTTCTGCGTATTTAAGTTTCCTCATTGGAAACTGGCATTCCTTGGGAACCCTGGGGTTTTATTGTTTCTTGGGTCTTGTTGGTTGCATCGTTTTGATTTCAGTTGAACCAACATTTAGTAGGAACTTATTATATTCTGGTCACTGTGCAAGATGCTGAAAATATAGGGTTGGAAGAACATGTGATCGATCCTTCTGCCTTCCCCCCACCTCTGGCCTGCCCCTCAGAGGTCACCATGTGGTGGGGGGGGGGCGCCCAGGGGCATGAAGAGTATGTCACAGTGGTTTGTACAGGGTGACCACGTGCGTGTGCTGAGAGAGGGCTGGGACAGAGAAGGGAACGTGTTCCTGTGCCTTGTGGGACCCACGGAAGGATTCACTGAGGAGACAAAGCCTGCATACCTAGGGGAATCAGACTGCGGGAAAGCGAAGTTATTTTCTTGACTGCATTGAACTGATGTCTAATCAAAGTGGTGTGCACCCTGCCGAGAAAAATTAAAGTAAAATAAAATAACAGACTAGGCGTTGGTCTGTCTGTTCTGCGTGGTTCTGCAGGGGTGCGGGAACTGAGATTTTAGGGGCTCAATGATATGGCCCCATTCCTGTAGTAGGTGCCGATCTCCGGTTTACTTTGGTGGGATTTATCATTGCTGCTCGGCCAGAGTGCAGGTCCCTGAGTTATGATCTTCCAAGGGTTATGGGCATTGCAGTGATAGTATGTAAGATAGAGATTAGCTGCTTTGCTTTCACTTTAAGAAAAATAAAATTCGGTGCTTTATCTTTAATCCTCGTCCTTATACTTGATCTCAGATTTAAATGGCTGCCTTGGGAGACGGGGTTAAAGGTATGGCAGGCAGTGTGTGGGGGGACAGTGCCCAGGGTTTCAGGCACAGGACTGTGTCTAGCTGTGTGAGCTCAGGCAAGCCCTGTACCTCAGGGGCTA